TTATATTGTAATCTGGAAGGCTCACTTTTGGACAGAACAATGAATTTAAAAACTCCTCAAATATTTTATTCTCTCCATTGGCACTAACGAGTGGTTATTTTCTATGTATATTTAGATATTTGGAGTATTAGTTTATATTATATTTTGCTAGAAAAGCAAAAGCAGACAAGTTCAATTTAAAGGGCAGAACTTCGAGATCAACCAAATCAATAGTTACAAGTTGTACACGTCTATGTTGACTGATGAAACCTGGTCATCTCCTCCCTACTCCCCACAAAAAGAAACTATCTTAATATTTTTTATCTTAATTTATCTTAATTTTATCTTAATATCTTAAATATCTCTGGGATCTATCCCTTCCTATCCTTACCACCACTGCTTTAAATTAGGTCTTGCTCCTCTCTTGCTAAAGCTTGTAATAGCCCCCAAATTAATCTCTCTAATGTCTTGCTCCTCCAGGCTGTATTTCTCACAGGTACTCAATATTCTGCATAAAACACAAACTTGACCGTCTTATTTCCTTGCGTACAATCTTTATAGTTTCAGGGCACCTGGGCGCCTCAGTCAATTAAGCAGCTGACTCTTGATTTCAGCTCAGGTCATGATCTCAGGGTATAGGGTTGAGCCCCTCAACAAGCATGGTGGTCATGGGAAGTCTGCTTGGGATTCCCTCCCTCTTCCTCTGCACCCCCCCCCATGGTCACTTGCTCTCACTCTCTGTCTAAAATGAGTAGATAAATCTTTAAGAAAAAATAAAATCTTTGTAGTTTCAACATCTTCTGGAAAGCAAGGTCTAATCCTCGGCATGGCATTCAGGGCCTTCCCAAAAAGGCAGCCTGGTCTAGTGGTTATGAGCATGAGTCCTAGAACTGGACTGTTTGGGTGTGAATACAGGTTCTGCTCCTAGTAGCTCTGTGGCCTTTACTAAACATTTACAACAGCCTATAAAATGGGTAGCTTTTATTAATATTACGCGGTTTCTCCTTCACTTCCCGCACTTACTTTCTGATTGCTTTGCAATCACCCAAGGACATTTTGCACTTTTGTTTCTGTTTTGTTTTGTTTTGTTTTGTTTTTAATATTTTAAGAGAGAGAGGCAGAGACACAGGCAGAGGGAGAAGCAGGCTCCATGCAGGGAGCCCGATGCGGGATTCGATCCCGGGTCTCCAGGATCACGCCCTGGGCCAAAGGCGGTGCTAAACCGTTAAGCCACCGGGGCTGCCCATGTTTCTATTTTTTAACTGTCGGATGTTTCAGGAGATGAATGTGTGAGTTTTCCAGAACTGGTGGGGACCTTCATATCAGACAATTTCCTGACAGACACAGCATGCTCTCTCCCTGGTCCTTTCTAAACCCCATTCTGCTCTCAGCTCCTGCCTTTGGTGTAATCTCCCCGATCCTCTCACTGATGGGGGAGCTCTTTTTTTTTAATAATAAATTTATTTTTTATTGGTGTTCAATTTGCCAACATACAGAATAACACCCAGTGCTCATCCTGTCAAGTGCCCCCCTCAGTGCCCGTCACCCAGTCACCCCCACCCCCCGCCCTCCTCCCCTTCCACCACCCCTAGTTCGTTTCCCAGAGTTAGGAGTCTTTATGTTCTGTGTCCCTTTCTGATATTTCCTACCCATTTCTTCTCCCTTCCCTTATATTCCCTTTCACTATTTTTTATATTCCCCAAATGAATGAGAACATATAATGTTTGTCCTTCTCTGAAGCTCTTGACCTGGACTCACTCAGGCTGTCTGGGAGCAAGGCACCCGAAGCCCAGCTTCCTTTCACGGGGCGACATGGGGAAGGCAAATAGCTAGCTCTGAATCTAGCTATATCCCCGTCACACCAGGACACTGGCGTAGGAGACAGAAAATCAATGATGAAAGTATCATTTGGGGCGCAAAAGGGAGCGGATATAGGAACCAAAGAAGGCACCGACTTCTATAGCATAAAGTTTTTTTTTTTTAAATATTCCTTATTTTAATTCTAGTCAAAATGTTCAATCCAGCTTAACATCCAGAAATCGTTCAAAGTAGAATGTTTACATTTTCAACTTAAAAACAAACTTTCGTGTCTTAATTAAGGCATAATGATCTATTCAATCGAGTGTTGTGAACATGGTGATAAGTGTTAAATTAGGCTTTTGGTTGGTATTAACTCCAACCAAAAACCAAGTGGGATGTTTATTCAAGGTGACCTACGCTGTAGCGGGTTTGGGTAAAATACTAGTTCTTGCTACGTGATGAGAGCTGACAAGGGATAACAGCATAATGGAGATGAAACGAGCCCGAGAGATCGGCTCACATAACACGGTTGGTCCTTCCGCATCATAGACTTTTATTCCTTGGGTTTGCACAATGATCCAGTTTATGTCTGATACATTTCATCGTCGCTGTGTGAGGTGTGGCCCTTGCTCTGTAGGCTCTACTTCTGTTTTTGGAAGTTACTTCAAGGGCTTGTTTGCACACAACAGATCCGATGAGACTACGTTGACCTCCACGTCCGCATTGCAAGGTAGACTCATTGCCCTTGCAGGTGTAATGACACCTCAAGATATCAAGAGATGTGCGGTCTGTTTAGGTGATAAGAGCAAGACACTGTCATCCCCTGTGCGTACAGCAGAGCACGATGCTGAGCTGTGGGTGGGTTGAAAGGGAGATAAGAGAATGAAGTACAGTTTTGTTCAAGGATCAGACTAGAGCTACTAACTCATACGCCTAATGGCAATGACTAATCAAAGTATTTTTTGCAAAGTCTGCCTAAATAAAAGCTAACTGTCACAGACTTCCGACTTTTCTACACAGCTTAAATTTATTTTTATTTTTATTATTTTTTATTTTTTTTAAAGATTTTATTTATTTATTCATGAGAGACACAGAGAGGCAGAGACACAGGCAGAGGGAGAAGCAGGCTCCAGGCAGGGAGTCCCATGCGGGACTCGATCCCGGGTCTCCAGGATCACGCCCTGGGCCGAAGGCAGGCGCTAAACCGCTAAGCCACTGGGGCTGCCCTAAATTTATTTTTATATAAGTTTCTACACAACTTAAATTATTTTTATCTTTTGTGTTTAGGAATCAGTACGTGGTTCACATTTTCTTTAGTAGCAACTGAGCGATTAGATTCATGCTTTCTCCTATCCTGAAATCATTTTTCTAGCACTTACCTTAAAAGCAACTCTGGTTCCATCAGGCTAAAAATTTAGATATCTTAAGAAAAGTTGTGATAAAGTGTTTTATTTTCCCACAATTAAGCAATAATTAATTTAAAGCTGATACTGTAGTTTTCAGGCCCCATACTAAGAACCATTTATTTTTATTTTTTATTTTTTTAAATTTTATTTATTTATGATAGGCACACAGTGAGAGAGAGAGAGAGGCAGAGACACAGGCAGAGGGAGAAGCAGGCTCCATGCACCGGGAGCCCGACGTGGGATTCGATCCCGGGTCTCCAGGATGGCGCCCTGGGACAAAGGCAGGCGCCAAACCGCTGTGCTACCCAGGGATCCCCTAAGAACCATTTAAAATGGTGACAGATATATGAGAATTTAAGTGGGAAAACTTGTGTCCCATCTGCATTATTGACAAGACTAGAGGAAAGTTTGTTTTGAGTAAAGTGTAATAGTTGAAGAATAACTTTAACAATAAAATTTATTATTATTATTATTATTATTATTATTATTGCTCTCTCTTTAGCAGATAAAATGAAATCTTGGTAATTATTTATTTTTATTTTTATTTTTTTTAAATCTTGGTAATTAATAATAGATTTCCAATCTAAAAATTATTCCTGATAACAAAGTTTAAAAAAGAAGAATCAAAATAAGAAAAAAAGGTGGCACTTTTTTTTAATAATAAATTTGTTTTTTATTGGTGTTCAATTTGCCAACATACAGAATAATGTGGCGCTTTTTGGTGCCGTTACTGAACGACAGATAATCACGGATATTTCGCAACAGTATGACATAATTGGCGAAACATATAAAATGCCCAGCCTCTGGAACCAGGTCATTAGGTTCAAATTTAAATACTGACACGTAAAGTAGACATGGGACTTTGAGGTGCCTCCTCTTCCTTTGCCAACTTCTCTGTCCGGGAAAGGCGGGTAACAGGAGTGTCTACCTCACAGGCTGGTTATGTCAGGGGCGGGGTCCCCAAGGCCACCTGCAGGCTCGATGATCTGCTAGAAGAACTCACGGTGTACTACAGTGAGAGCAAACAGATTATGATCAGCAAAGGGGAGGCAAAGTCCCTCTGCCAACGTCCGGATGTTCCTTTCCAGTGGAATTCCAGTGGATTCCAGTGGAATCCCAGGGGATGAGCTTAATCCTCCCCGGAACATTGTGTGACAATTCACGTGACGCGTGGTCCACCAGGGAAGAAGCTCAGCCGAGCTTTATCTCTAGGACTTTAATGGGGGCCAGTCATATAGTGTCGTCAGGGGTCCGGCACCGAGCCTGCAGCTCCCAGCGATGAACCTCAGCTCCTGGGGCTTTAGCCTCCCCGCCCCCAAAGCAAGAACAGGTGTTGACCGTAAATGGATCTGGGCAAACGGCAAGAGCATAGGCCAAGGCACAGGGGTCCAAAAATTCTCTTACCAGGCGGGCTATTCCAAGAGCGCAGGCGTTATCTCAGGAACGGGCCGAAGGCTGGTCTTGAAGACAGGCCGTAAGTTGGAATGTGCGGGGCTGAGTCACGCAGCCTGTTGAGCCGACCGCTGCCTGAGCGGAAGGTACAAGGAGCGGGTGAGTTAGTCCACGTAGCCCAGGGTATAGTGCCTGGCTCGTGTACGCAGAGGAATACAGGCGAGAAGCAGCCACGGCCCCAGGATTCCCGGTGGAAGGTCCTCAGCTCTGGAGTGAGGGGCGTCGTCATGGGCATGGGGAATATTTTAGCTCGGTCTGTTTTACTGAGAGAAGTTCCCAGGGAAACACGTCCTAACGGTGTCCTTTGCCCTCTACAGAGCTCTGAGGTCAGCAAAGGAATAACTGAGGAGCGCGGCTGCGTGGCGAGTGCAAGAGTAAGGCAGGTACGAGAACGACTCTCCGCCGTTAGCTCGCAATATTCATTTAGGTTGAGGGTCCTGGAATCCTATAAATCCCTTGGATAAGGGCTAGATGAATCCTATAGCCCTTATTATTAGAAAGATGTGTCACAAAGATGCTAGTTTGGCGTCTGAGACTACGTGTGACCCAGGCTGTAGACGACGGCCGATCCCATCCTAGGCGGGGTTGACTTCTGTGTACTCACCGAGTTAATTTTGAGAGTTTCAGGTAGGCCAGGCCTTGATAGAAATGTGAAGCGACTAAATAATAATGATTGTTTATTAAATCGACGCATAGTCGCTAAAAGCTTGTGATACGGCAAACACTCACCTGTGAGGTAGTTGGTGATTTTATGGAACCGAACGAAGCAGGATGGCCCGTTGCTGCCCTGAAGGGGCCCCCAGTCTTGCGGAGGGGACACGGAATGAATAAGCGAATATCAACCTATGAATAAAAACCGTGATGAGCGCCGTGAAGGGGAATGCGGGCGGTATCAGGAGACACGGGGGGATCTGTTGTGGGCTGGCAACCCCAGGGTATTTCGGAAAGTAGCGCTTACACTAAGAGCTGCAGTCTGGGGGGAAGTGTCCAGGAAGAGGGAACAGCAGGTAATTGGTAAGAGGATGACATGGCGACAGAGTCACAGTTGTAGAGGGAGACACGAGAGGACGCCGAGTTGGTAATTGGGTGAAGATGCGCACGGGAGCTGGCCCGTCCCACCGGGACCTTCCTGCACATGGGGCCTGTGGCCCGGGCCTGCGGGGCGACCTCGCGCCCTTGGAGTTGCCGCGTCGCGTCCCTTGGTCTCTTCTCCTGACCCCCGGGTCTCCCGCCCGCCCCCACTTCCTCACCCGCCGAGGCTCCGTGGAGTGTCTCCCCGTCCTACAGACATCTCCACGTGCCCGCCCCTCCGAGCACGAGCTCCAGCACGTGTTCCGCGTCAAATGGTCTGGAATCAAGGAATTTTGAGATTTTTCTGAATACCGTCACACTTTCAGGAGCTTTGATGTGAGAGGTTTAGAGACCCTATAATAAGCAGTAAATAAGCAAACAAAGCTCGACGTCTGTGTCCACGTTCGTGTCGGCGCCTTTATCTGACCTGGTGTTTCCCAAAGCTGGTTTCGTGTTGGCATTAGAAAATGCTTCCAAAGGTTCTTTCTTGGAAATATGAGTTTGAAGAGGTTCCTTCGACTTCCTAGGCTGGCCTGCTTTTCGGTAATTTGGCTTACTCCGTGGCTGTGCACATCAGATTATGTTGGGTGATTCGCTAATTTACCGAAATCCAGATAATTCAAGCTGGATTAAAAAAATCTGTTTGCTTCAGCGGTTTAGCTTTTTTCAAGCAGAAGATTTTTTCATGACCTGAATTCTATGGTTCATTGCTCCAAATCCCGAGTATACTTTTCACGTGAAAATAATACGGAGTAAGGGCTTCCTAAATAATTCTCATCATCACCATCCGTGATGTTTTCTCTCTTAAGTCAGACAAAATAAAGTCAAAAAGAAAGTTTGCGTCTCAGCTGCTCTGAACCTTATTCCTTTGCGTTGAAAATGCTTATTCTCCTTGATTGGTGAAATTCTTATAGTTTGAAAGAACCTTACAGTGACGAGAATGACTTGGGGTAGCGCCTCGGGATGATCTGACTTCATATGCTATGTGGAGATTCTCTATTTACGACAATGAAAGTTTCTTTTTTAAAGATGTTATTTATTTATTCGTGAGAGACACAGAGAGAGGCAGAGACACAGGCAGAGGGAGAAGCAGGCTCCATGCAGGGAGCCCGACGTGGGACTCGAACCCAGGAGCCTGGGGTCACGCCCTGGGCTGAAGGCAGATGCTCGACCACTGAGCCACCCTGGGCGCCCCAATAAAAGTCTTGAGAAGGGATCCCTGGGTGGCGCAGCGGTTTGGCGCCTGCCTTTGGCCCAGGGCGCGATCCTGGAGACCCGGGATCGAATCCCACGTCGGGCTCCCGGTGCGTGGAGCCTGCTTCTCCCTCTGCCTGTGTCTCTGCCTCTCTCTCTCTCTCTCTCTCTGTGACTATCATAAATAAATAAAAATAAAAAAAAAGATTTAAAAGTCTTGAGAAGCCAGAATATTAGACTTAACTTACACTTACTCCAGAGGACAGGCACTGAGAAGCATCTGCACGGAAGGGCATCAGCTTTTTTAGATCAATCCGGCATCTTTCAGTCCCGTTAACTCTTCTTACAACAACAATAAGAAAAACACATGAACAGTTGCCCAGGATTTCATAACTTAGAAACAAAAAGCCTCGATTCATCCCCAGAAAGACAAGAGACAGCTGTCCTTTAATCGCCGTTCTTGCCATTTGCTTTCTCGTAGAGAGGTCTCAAATTTGGAATCTAATTAGAAATCCTAATTGAAATGGCTAAAGAGAGAGAGAGAGAAAGATCCGCATGAAAGTAGGGATAACAATAGGAAGTGGTGATCTCTCAGCCCGATGGAAGGAGCTGGCCTCTGGGGAACAAGTCATCTGGCACGAAACTGAACTTTGCTGTCTTCTCCCTCAGGAGGAATTTTCTCGGCCAAATGACTAGTCTTTGAGTCTTCATCAATTGTGGTTTCTCAGGGTAGAAACAATGGTTAAAACCATAAAGTCTTGAGGCCTGTGTTGAATCCCTGTCCCCTAACTTATTCCCTGCCTGACCTGCGGCACGTTTCCTAGGCATTTGCAATCTCAGTTTACTCACCCCTAAAGCGGAACCTCAAAAATAAAAATAAAAACAAAAATAATAAATAAATAAATAAATAAATAAATAAATAAATAAAACGGAACCTTAAATCCCACGCAACAGCGTTTCTGTCTTTCCACTTGCACACTGGCCGATGCACAGGACGGGTCTAGATTTATCAAGCTCTCGAAAGGGAGAAGAGAAAGAAGTCATGGGAGACAGAAGTAAATTTGAGAAAACACAAAATAGTATCCGGCAGCGAATATTACAAATACGAGACATTCAGAAAGTGCTTGTTGATTCTGTACCCCCCGAGGCAAAGACCCAGAAGCAGATTCCTTGATCCTTCTCCTCGAGCTTTTCCTTTTTCCCCCGGAGATCTGTGGGTTCTGGTCTTCGGGTCGCCGCCCCGCTGGAACCAGAGGGACAACATGTCATTTCTGAACTACCGCACGGTGCTGCTGTTGGGCACGATAGGTGCTCGCGTAGCCTTTGCTTGATGGGGTGGAGCAGTGAGCCCGCCGGGAGGGGGGCCGGGAGGGGGGCCGGGAGGGGGGCCGGGAGGAGGGCAGCGCAGCACACACTGTCCCGGCTCCTGGTTCACAAGCACCGCGTCTGGCCTCCGGAGCGGGGCCTTGCCCTCCTGTGATGATGCACTCGGCGAGAACGCCCCGCTTCCTGCTGCCTCTCCCTGGGCTCCCCTCCCATCAGATTAGCCCATTTCCTGTTGCTGATGCATCTCCTACATTGGGAGCTTTTTCTCTTTGCTTTCATGACCTTTATTTTCGATATTTTCTTCTTTTTTTTTTTTGTCTTTCAGTCTTGCTCTCTTCTTTTACCGCTGTTCTCCTCTCGCTTTTATCTATCTGCACATTTTTGTTGTACAAACCTCTCCACGCCCAATTACATATCCTGTCTGTTGAAGCAGTCGCAGGAATCTCCCGAGACACTTCTCTTAGCTGTCTGTCTGTCTGTCTGCTTTCAGGCACCGCCCCCGGTTGCCCATCGGTGGGAAGGAACCCGACCGAGAGCCAGTGAAAGCTCAGCTCTATATGCCGGTGGCTCTTTTCCTTCCAGCCTCTACTCCATCCTGTTCGCTTTTACCAAAAACTCTCCAAAGAAGTGGACCTCCGGCGGAGTTTACTGCTTGCTTCCGTACTGGTGTCCGGGTTACTGATGAGATGAATCAGTTGTCCAAGTCCATTTGGGTTTCTTTCTTTTTTTTTAAGATTGATTGGTTGATTGATTGATTGATTGATTTATGATAGACATAGAGAGACAGAGGCAGAGATGAATCAGTTGTCCAAGTCCATTTGGGTTTCTTTTTTTTTTTTTTTTAAGATTTATTTATTTATTTATTTATTTATTTATTTATTTATTTATGATAGACATAGAGAGAGAGAGAGACAGAGAGAGGCAGAGAGGCAGATGACTCAGTTGTCCAAGTCCATTTGGACTTTTTTTTTTAAGATTTATTTATTTATTTAATTATTTATGTAGACATAGAGAGAGGCAGAGATGACTCAGTTGTCCAAGTCCATTTGGGTTTCTTTTTTTTTTTTTAAGATTTATTTATTTATTTGTTTATTTATTTATTTATTTATTTATTTATGATAGACATAGAGAGAGAGAGAGACAGAGAGAGGCAGAGAGAGGCAGATGACTCAGTTGTCCAAGTCCATTTGGACTTTTTTTTTTAAGATTTATTTATTTATTTATTTATTTATTTATTTATTTATTTATTTATGTAGACATAGAGAGAGGCAGAGATGACTCAGTTGTCCAAGTCCATTTGGGCTTCTTTTTTTTGTTTTTTAAAGATTGATTGATTGATTAATTGATGGTAGACATAGAGAGAGAGAGAGAGAGGCAGAGACACAGGCAGAGGGAGAAGCAGGCTCCATGCAGGGAGCCCGACGTGAGACTCGATCCCGGGTCTCCAGGATCACACCCTGGGCCAAAGGCAGGCACCAAACTGCCGAGCCACTCAGGGATCCCCCAATTTGGGTTTCTGAATGTGTCCTTAGTTTTGGTGGCCACGTCCTCAGAGTCCGGGGTGGGACTCTGCACCCAGTGGTCCAGGTGCTCTGATCCCGAGACACCTGCCTGCAAACCCGTCCCCTGTGGAACCTACTTTGGGTATCCCTCCTCATTGATGATTCGGACACACACGTGATACTAAGGGGCAGCTCTCAGCATCCTCTTCTACTGCTTCCCCACCCCTCACCCCAAACTCAAGGGAGCCCCTATTTAGTGATGCCCATCAGATCAGACTTGAGCTTATCAA